GCAGTTCCTACTATCTCTATATCATTCTAATTTTGAGTAATAACAAATGCTTGGTCTAGATCTAGGGCAATAACATCCTTCGATAGTTTGAATAGTAATTTGACAAGGAACTAATAATATAAGAACCTTCTGGAGAAATTACCACTTCTGAGCGCATATGAAAGCTGCATAAAACTGTGCAAAATACATTATTGCATTGAGGATATTTCAGTGACTTTGTTGTTTCAAATGTTTGTAAGTTGATTTTGGATTTTGACATATTCATCAACTTTAACAGCTAGTTCCTCTAATTATGTTATTTGCCATCAGAGTTTAAAATAAAATATTTTAAAAATTAATGTAATAGGTTAGAAAATTGATTATAATTCCTTGTAGGTGATCAGTTCCTTTAAAAAAAAGCACTCTTTCTTCAAATATTGAATTTCATTCAGAGCCACAGGACATTTTAGAAATGTAGCTACTTCTGAGTAAATTTATTTAGATTCTGTGTTAGATTAATTATCTCAGTAGAAAGATCTGAATTAATTTTATTCCTGTTTCATAGAAATCCTTGCCAAGCATTTACATTAACTGTGTATTAGTCAAGATTTCGTTTGGGAATTGTTGATGTTGACTTTGATTTTTCTGATTTTACGTATTGAAAGAAATAAGTTCACTGTTTTGTAATAAATTAATAAAACTGAGAATTACATGGTTGCCTCTTTGATGCTCTTTTCAGCTGCCACCCTTTATCTGGTGAATGTTCCTGTAAAGCAGGCTGGACTGGCCTATACTGCAATGAGACTTGTTCCTCTGGGTTTCATGGAGAGAACTGTCAGCAAACCTGTAACTGTCAGAATGGGGCTGATTGTGACAGTATCACTGGTAAATGTGTTTGTGCTCCAGGATTTGAGGTGAGTAATTTTATTTAGATATCGTATGTGGAAATAGAGGGATCATAGACACGAACCATAGAATGATTACTTCACAGAAGGAGTCTGTTTAGTTAGTCAAACCTGTCACAGTTTTCTGCAAGAGCAATATAATTAGTCCCAATATCAGTTCTTTCATAACTGCACAGTTTTTCTCTTTGGGTGCTTTTCCAGTTCCCTTTTGAGAACCTTGCTCAAATCTGCCTCTGTCACTCTTCTAAGCAGTGCATGCCAGACCACAATCAGTATATTTAGAAAAAATGTTTCTTTGTTGCCTTTTCGTTGTTAACTGTAACCTCTGTTTTTCAATCCTTACCCCAAAGGAAGCATTTTCTCTACATACTCAGTCTGGACTTCTCACTGTTGTAAATGCCTTTATTAAATCTCCTGTGAACTTTCTCAAAGGAGAACAACCCATGATTCTTCAATCTATCCATGTCACTAAAGTCCCTCAACCCTGAATCAGAATTTCACAGAATTGTTACAGTGAACCTTATCAATCTTTTCTGCACTCCCTGTAGAGCTATCACATCCTTTCTAAACAGTGGTGCCTAGAATTAGACTCAGTACTCTAAATGAGCCCAAACTACTATTTTGTAAAGGTTTATCCTTTATAACTAATAATTATTTGTATTTTTTAAGTAATGTGGAGATCTTGTGCCACCACTTCATCAGATGATGCCACAGCCTGAGATAAAATTTCTGTGCCTTTGATTCCTCATTTCTGATCTGCCAACTTCAGTCATGACATCATGGAGAGACAATTTCCAAAGTCTTTATGCTTTGCTAAGAATAGAAAGTAAACAACAACTTATGTTTGTATAACGATTTAAAGCAACAAAATATCCCAAGAATTGTATAAGAGCATTATCAAGCTAAATTGGATGCCGTGCTACTTAAGAAAATATTAGAACAGATTATCAAAGGCATGGCCAAAAAGTCTTAAGGAGGCTCTTGAAAAAAGATAGGTAGAGAGTTGGAGAGGTTTAGGGTGGGAATTCCAAAGCTTAGGGCTTTGGCAACTAAATACAGAGCCAGTAATGATGGAGCAATTAAAACTGAAGGTTGCTCAAGAGGCCAGTAGCAAAGATTTGTCAGAGGTTGTGGGGCTGCAGGAGATCAGAGGGATATGGTGAAGCAAGTCAATGAAAGAAGTGGAAAACAAGACTTAGAATTTTAAAATTCAAGGTGTTGCATGACCCGGAGCCAAGAGAGGTCAGTGAGCAAAGAGGTGTAGGAGGAACAGAACCTGCAGCAAGTAAGGACAAGGTTTTGGGTGACCCAAAAGAGTGGAAAACATGGAGGAAAACATGCTCACTACTTCCTTGGCTCCATTTGGTACATGCCTATGAAAATAAACCAACATATATTGTGCGGAGCAACAGAAATCATGTACAATCTATGATACCTTTTGTTTTATAACAATGGGTGAGACATTCACGTACACATAAATATTAAGAGAAATTCCTTTGCTCATAGGAAGGTTAATCTTTGGAATAGTTTTGCTAGACAAAATAGTTGAAATAAAAACATGGGACTATTAGAATGTTACTGGGTGCAACAACAGGATAGGACACTGGAGGAATGAGTTTCAATTACTTTTCCTTGTCCTTCATTTTTCTAATGACTGATTACTTGTAAATCTAATTCTTCCTCTGCCAAAGCCAACTGGGAGAAGTGTCTCCTGCTCATTCATAACAGCAAGACCTTCTCAACTTCCATGAAAACTCAATAAAGCTGGCTTTGTGGGAATAGACTATTTTTATCATGTTATACTCAGAAACCACAAGCACAACAAAATGAAGAATGTCAGAGAGATCTTGATGGAACTCCCTTGACTGTTGAAAGTGAGGCTGCCTATGAAACATATACCCTGTCAGACAGATTTTTGATTTTATTGTCTGGATGTTATCATTACAATGTGGCAAGGAGCTCTGTAATCTCATAACAGAAATTGCTACTGTGACAGCAGGAGAATCCAATGGTTTTCAAACTTCCTTTCATTGTAATCCTAGGCAGCATCCAGACAGTAAAGACAGTGGGCTCAATATTTATGGAAGGCAGAAAGGGTTTGAGAGAACAGGATACTGCATGGAAAATCTGCCAATTCCTGAGATTTAATAATAGAAATTAGCAGAATGACAGGCTGGCCAGCTGCCAACTAGCAAGATTAACATTAGGAGTCTGCAACTGATCAGGATGATATTTGGCTATCTGGCAAGATTATGTTTGCAATCAAGTGTTGGTTGGGGGAATGGCCAATCCCTGCAGCAAAGAGAAACTGCACTTATCAGAAGGGAAGCACTGTTGGGAACACTGCCATTCCTGCTGGTCTGCAAGCAGTGCTATTATGCTATGAAGTCAGGTGCTTACTTCACCTTCCTGTTTCAATCTGCTCATTACCTCAGTTCTACCTGTTTATATTGTTTTAATTCCTGCTATGAGCCTTGCAGCCATTCAGCCATAGTACAACACAGTGGTAGCCTTGGCTCAATGTGGCACTGAGTCAAAAGCTTGTGTGTTCAAGTCCCAGTCCAGCAAATTATGTGATTGTTAATTAAGAACTACAATCACGGTCCAAGTGACAAATGGAATACAAGAGAATTAGTCTTGGTGGACTAACATTTGTTCCAGTCTTTCATTAAAATTGAAATTGCCAATTATTGTGTTGTTTAGTGGCTGAAACATTCCTTCATTCATGTTTGTGATCTTAGTTATTTGTGGAGGAGAGGTTGATTGGAGGCTGCATGTTTCTGCAAAATGGGAAAGAGAGAAAGCCTGATCAGGAAAATCTGACAGCCTCACAGCAGTCATTTAAAGGTGAAGAACTACATATTTTCTCAAGCCAGTTGGTGTTATGTGATTTCGCTAAGGAATTCCTCCTGTGAGTGGTTCTTCTTTGTAGAAAGTGATCAAGTTCTTCCTATAATAACAAAATGTTTGTTTGTGTGGAGTTTATGCGTTAGAAAAGGCATTCATTAAGATGTTAATTAACATAATCAGCTTGCAGTCTTACACGGAAAATTTGCAATTGAATAACAGACTTCATGACACATCATGTAATGAAATCAGAGCAGCAGAACATATTCTGCCACACATCCTTGCATGCATCCTTTTTTGTGCCTGTTTTCCTTTCTTTTGCTGAAGATATGCATACCTGGTATTTAATGATTACAAGTATTAAGACTGGGCTTCAACTGTCAAGGACTATGTCAGCCAGAGCAGTGCATGGAATACTTGCTGCAATAAGTATAATGTCTTGCACTAAGCACTCAGTTAATTGACAAGGTTTTTTTTCCATAAGCTTCTAGAATTATGGTAGTTGACCTCAAAATGTGTTATCCCGTAGAAAGACAGATGAATAAAAAGCCATCGATTTTATTTTGGAATTAACAAAGATGCAACCAAGGGTGAATTTCAGAATTTTCCTGTTTGTCTATGTAACATCTGGAAAATAGCCACAGGTTATCAGGAAAAAATAGCGTCATTCACCAAGCTTTTCACAACATTTTCATTGCAGTTATAGTAGACAACCAGGAGAATGCTGAGAAGCCCAGCCCATTATTTGTAAAATGCTTCTTTCAGGATACTTGGGAGAAGAATAAATAACATTACCAACAAAAAAAGGTCACTGCAAATATCAAACAGCTCATGGATGAAATATATTATAGTATGAAAGTAAAAGTACCATAAATCCAGTCCTGATTTCACATATGTTTCAACAGTTCGTACTCCATTAAGCTGTTGATGAGGTTGGTTTGATACCAATGAATAATGAGTGTTAAGAATAGCATGAGGATTTGTTCAAATTTACAAGCATGCCATAAAAATATAAATTATTTTGAGAGGAATTCAATAAAAAAAAACCTGGAATTAAGAATCTGCTGATAACCATGAAACCATTGTGAATTGTTGGAAAACCCATTTGACTCACTAATGTCCTCCAGATCCACAGCAATGTGGTTGACTTAGCTGCCCTCTGGAAATGGCTTAGCAAGCTAGTCAGTTGTATCAATTGCTACAAAGCCTCAAGAAAGAAATGAAATGGGATTGACCATCTGACATCGACCTAGATACTGGAAAAGACAACTGTAGAAACAGCCTTGTCAACCTTGCAGAGTCCTCCTTACTAACATCTGGGGGCAAGTGCCAAAATTGAGAGAGCTGTCTCATAAACTAGTCAAGCACCAATCTGACATATTCATACTCACGGAATCATACCTTACAGACAATGTCCCACACACAACCATCACTATCCCTGGATATGCCCTGCCCCACCAGCAAGACAGATCCAGCAAAGATGGTGGCACAGTGGTATACAGTTCAAAGGGTGTTGTCCTGGGATTCCTTAACATCTACTGTGGACCCCATGAAGTCTCATGGTTTCAGGTTAACATGGGCAGGGCGCCTCCTGCTGATTACCATTTACCGTCCTCTCTCGGCTGATAAATCAGTACTCCTCCATGTTGAACAACACTTGGAGGTAGCACTGAGGGTGGCAAAGGTGCAAAATGTACTCTGGGTGGGGGATTTCAATGTCCACCACCAAGTGTAGCTTGGCAGCGACATTACTGATCGAGCTGGTCAGGCCCTAAAAGACATAGCTACTAGACTGACTCTTTGTAGCAGATAGTGAGGGAACCAAGAAGTCCCTATGGAGATAAAGTCCCACCTTCACTTTGAGAATATCCTGCATCATGTTGCGTAGCCCTATCACCATGCTAATTGGAACAGACTTCGAACAGATCTAGCACCTCAAGACTGTGAGGCACTGTGGTCCATCAACAGTAGCAGAACTGTACTCCAGCGCAATCTGTAACCTCATGGCCAGGCTTAACCCTGAGGATTAACCCCAGAGGATTAACCCTGGTTCAATGGAGAGGGCAGGAAAGCATGCTAGTATCAGCACCAAGCATACCTGATAATGAGGTGTCAACCTGGTGAAACTACCAAACAAGACCATTTGTAAGCCAAACTGCATA